GTTTTTTCGGGTCGGTCGCTTCACGGTGGTTTTAAAAGGTTCCGCATATCGGTTTAGTCTGGCCCCGATAACACGTTAATAATTTAACCCTAAAAAAGAATACAATTGTATAAACATTTTTTCTTATACATATGTATATAAAATATGGTAACCCCCCCCCCACCACAATTAAAGATTTTTACGTACGCCACTGGTGCCATATATTGTGTACTTTTATACAACCAAGTATTTACACACAACAATATGATATCGATACAGGTACTTTTTACCAACAATGTACTTAAAGAAATAATATTAATTATTTACATTTTTGTTTTTATACCGTTCCCTACACTTTACTTTTTGGAAATATTTATGACCCGGCAAGTACGATTTTAATAATATTCGTATTTTTAGGTGTCTAACGTWATATTAAATATCATACTGACGAAAGTGGTCGCTACAAAATGCATACACATTATCGATTATTGTAAATAAATTGACAGCGTCGTGTGCACGCCGTAGATCTTTCGGTCCTAAATCGTATCCCTACACTACACACGTGTACACTAGCTACGTATATATATATATATAATATACAGGCCAGAATTCCAGATCGTTTGGCTGCTGCCTTTTCTCGGCGATCCATCCTGTATAAAATGTTAGGATGTTATCGTGCGTGATCGGGGATTATCGTTTCATGACCATACCACGGTGGCACGGTATATAGTCATGCGACTAGTGTACAACTAGTATTTATAGGCTGTTTACGACGAGCAATGAACACTATCCGTACCTTGATGATCATGTTATTATAATACAACACACTATTGCTGTTTTTAATATATTATTTTGTTGGTGATTTTTTTTTCCTCTTGGATTTCATCACTAAAAATTACTTACGTAAATACTTTTATAATGTAAAATTCGTCGAGGAAAACGTAAAGTCAGACAAATTTTAATTGTCAAATATCTATAGCTACTATATAACCTACACGTATGAGCGTGTGTGCAGTAACGTGTTAGTGTRTATATAATATAATGATTGATATTACGAAAATGATTATTGTACGCGACACATTTTGATGTTGACGTGTAGTTCTTATTTAATTTTTTTTTTCGATGACCTCGTTTTAAAATATTTAAAATATCGTCGCAATGGTGTATGTACTAATATGTACTTACATATTATTATTGTCTGTTACGTGTATTTACACGACTGATTTCAATCCAGAGCTTGTCTTTATTAGAAAATATCTCGGTTTCGTGTTGTTTGATTTTGTTTTCGTTTTCGTTTTCTTCGACAACGTATTGTATACATTGTCTTGAATATAAAACGTTCAAGACGAAATGTTTTCTTTTCAGTTACTTAAAAATTGATTGTCTCAGTCCTAACGTTTTAATCTCAAGATAAATATTGCATTGTTCTCGTAGTCGTCAGTCGTCACATTCTCTTATTATATTCCAGAGGCACGTGTTTTCATAACCACGATTATAGACTATATAGTTATCTAGTATGTTATCTGTATTATCGTGGTCATAAAATCATAACTATGACGAATTTTACCATCGTCGATTGTAAAATATGATATTCTTCTATTATGATGATATTTTTATTTATACGACGTGTCGCGTGTGCTGTTTATATACAGTCTGCTAGTCTATATTATATATTATATTATTATCCTCTWTAGCTTTGTTGTATAAATGTTCGATGTGTGAGCTATAATAAAATACGTTTACTCAATGGTATCTCCTATCTACATAGGCAGATATCTGATGTATATGTATAGTCAATACTTGTGTTGACATTACGTAGTCACGTCATTTATTGACAATTGACTCAATGATATATTATTATGTACCTACACATATTAGAATTTGAATGCTATTATTGAACTATACATTTTACATTTCCAATGTGCTGGCGTACTGCAGAATGCAATTCTACGATAACAGCGGATTGTTTACTTTTTGTACGATAGGTTGATGACGCCATTYCGTAGATTTGCCCTCGCAAGGTGCTCGAATTGGCATCATGTTGTGGGAGATTCACTGCTATTATTTTTTATATTTCAAGATTGCCTACTTATCTCTAATAATTCTTTTCGCATTGGCATGTGGTTTTTGATACAACAATTTTTTATCCTATCGTTACCTATAGGTGCTTACTTCACATTTTTTATTGGAATACAAATTTTTTTTTAATACCATATTCGAATTAAATTTTGATAATGTCAATCTTACAACTTAGTGTATTAATATGATACTGCATAAAGTGGCAGCCCCCCCTCGCACACACATGTTCACAAGACATACATTAGTTTGATATTGCATGAGTACTGAGTAGCACTTATTATAATAATATCATGAATAAATTATGTAAGAGTGAGTATCTAATAAACAACAATGAATAACGTTTGCCGTGCGTCCGTCTCCCGTTAATTTAGACTGAATCCTCCCCAGACAAAAACAAGCTTATTGATTATTGATACAATTTAAAATAATAAAGAGGTATATTTAGTTGGTACATTTGATTTATTAAAACAAAATGTAGGTCGAGTTGAATAGTTTTAAGGCACTAGAATTTTATAATTTTCAATAATTTAAGATTCATATTCTTGTATTTTTCCATTTCAAGCGCAGGCTTATTAAATGGCATCATCAGTAGGCATAACATCACTTAAATAATATATTATGAGTCATGCCCATCGCGCCAAGTATTGTGATGGGTATATGTGTAACTCGTTA